GCAGCTACACACTGCCCTTGAGCCAACTGAGCCAGCTGCGGGATACATAACCCTCCCTTTGTTCCGCCACTATACCTTTACAGCCCATTACGTTTGAACTTTATACCTCAATTGTCACAATGGCAGCACCTGAAGAGCCAGGAATTGTGCAGGTCGTTGGCGAGCCAAAGCAGTTCAAGCTTGAAACGCTAACCCGTGATCTTGAAAGGATTCATGGTAAAGGAAACGCTGGATGGAAATTGGTCCAAGCTCACAAAGTCAAACTCGTCTCAATTACGATTGAAACAGAAGACATTGCTGCGTTGGTAGAGCATTACGAGAGTCTTGGCGTGGATGTTGAATGGGAGCAAAAGAAAGGAGGCAGTCCTCAATACATCAAGTATTAAAGACAGTGGAAATTTTAGGTCCCGGAGTGAGGAACATGATGGCTCTATTAAATCTACTCTATAAGCAAGCCTAACCTCTAAAACACCATTTATGTCTGACAAGCAGAAAGGAAAACATCATCCATAAGAAGCGTAAAAGCAGCAGGGTTATTCTTGCAAGTGAGAACAAACGACAGCTCAACAGTAGAATGCGTGGGCGTGACATAGTTCATGCGGTTGCGGTACTGCCACCAAGCATTAGGGTCGTAGAAAGGATCAAAGTCATCAAAGTTGACACCGTCAAACTTGACGAGGATGTCACACTCGTAGTAAGGGAGATGGGCGCCGTTGCCCGTGTGGTGGCCGTAGCCGAGATAGTAGGTCTGGCCGGGCATGAGGCCTGTGATGGTTCGCTTGAAACCGGCTTTGACGCCATTCTTTTGGGGCCATTGCAGAGCCCTGAAGATCGTTAGTTTGGTGAAGCGGATAGCAGATGGGGGGACTTACATGGCGAGGTTTCCGCTGTTGGCACGAGCTTGAGGACCGTACTGGCCGTTGTAAGTGATACCAGCGTTTCCGGAGATCTCCCAACCACTTGATGCAGACTCAAAGTCGCCGTTGGGAATAAGGTTGGTGCCGACGCAGTTGTCTTGAGGAGGCTGGGCGCTATTGAGAGGGCCGATGGTAGCATCGGGGTCGAACGCAGTGACGGTTTGGGAGCCGACGGGAGTAGGAGTGGAAGGCTGGGTGTCGGGACGAGTAGTGGTGGAAGCAAAGTTGGCTTCAGTCGAGGCACCGCCGTTTGCAGAGGTGCTGGTCTGGAAGCCAGGATTGACTGTCTGAGTGGTGGCGTCGTTGGGGTTGGCAGGAGCAGAAGTAGACTCGGTGCCTTGGTTTTGAGACGCGGTAGAAGGGCCTTGGGTAGGAACGTTGGTGGCAGTAGAAGGGCCATTCTGAGTAGCAGGCTCAGACTCGGTAGCAGGTCCATTCTGGGTGGCGGGAAGAGTCTGAGTAGCAGGGCCGTTCTGGGTAGCAGGTTGAGATTGGGTAGCAGGAGGGGTTTGTGTAGAAGGGCCATCCTGAGTAGCAGGGAAAGTCTGGGTAGCAGGTCCACGCTGAGTAGTTGGAGCAATCCGAGTAGTAGGGAGGCTATTCCCAGGCTCACGAATATCACCGCCTCCAAAGTCAAGTCTAAAGTCATTGATGTTCTCCGGAGTGACCTGGTTAGAGATAAAGATCGAATCAACAAGCACCATGGCAGAACCTCCACCAGAGCAGGTAGTCTGGATGTTCAAGAAGCCCTGGCTAGCAGGCGCAGAAGTCGAGACCAGGACCTCGTTGTAGCTAACGCTAGCACCATTGGAGAAAATGCCAGTGGTGAAGAACTTCTGAGAACCGATGAATGCCTCGAGAACACAAGATGTTGTCGCCTGGGGAGGAGTGAAGACGAGGTAGAAGAACTGAACGGTGTACTGAGTTCGCACATTTAGACCAGTGAGCAACTGCTTCAGCGACGCAATCTCTCCGAGAGTCTGACGCTTGCGCGTTCCAGCAGACTGGGCACTAAGCGCAGCGCAGCTCTTTTCTGAGCTCCCACCGCCGGGATTATAACCATCGTTAGTGTTCAGGGTGACATCGCCGTCAATGACGAAAGGATCGAGGCTTGTAAGGCCACCACCGGTACAAGTGTTGGTAATGATGGAATCGACCGGAGGCGCAGGAAGAGTCGTAGCTTCAACAGCAGCAGACGAAGTCTCTGAAGCAACAGATGTCGAAGTCTCAGTGGTTCGAGGCTTGCAAGGCCCAGCGACGGCGCCAGAAATGGCTAGTGCCGCGATGGCGATGAAGGAGCGCATAATGAGCGTTGGGGTAAAGAGTGAATGGCGGATAGACCGAGTTGGACGGTTGAAGGTTCAGAGGAAAGTTCAAGAAAGCGGTATGGGAATCTCATCTTGTATTGTAGGTATTTTTCGGGTGCTTGGACCCCTATCGCGGAATTGGCCATGCGAAAGGTTTTCGATAGTGTACTGTGGCGTTGTCCATGTTGAGACGTTCAGCCTGCGCCGTTTGGGTCCGGTAGTTGAACTATCGGTGTTTAGTGTTTTGGTGCCTGGATTGGTGTTAGATGTGGACCCTGAAATTTGACGTCAACAACATGATCATGTCATGAGGGGAACCAACATGACGACAAGTCAATCACAAATTGAGAGACAGACTATGATTGGCTGAATGTTGATACATAGAACATGTTGTCTCAATTGATTCAAATGACATACTATCACTACAATAACTTGGATAATCAGAATTTCGGCATTTATCCGCTTCCCATGCCAGCATCACGATCCTACTCGATAGCGGGACCTCGTCAAGCATCTTTTGCTTCCACTTTCTAGTGCCGACCATGCATAAAAGGAACTTACCGAGATTTCCTCCTCATTCGACTTCTTTTCCGCTCTTTAATCTCAAATACGGTCACTAGCGCCACAGCGACAACTTTCCCGAGAGTCTGGAACTGAGTCGCCCACTAACGCGATTCAATAGCGTCAACGGTAGCGTCTTCACCTTTCAGCCCTTATTTTGCAGTTCCCAGTGTTATGCAGAATTATCTATTAGGACCGATGCCTGTCGTATCAATTAATTGTCGTGGCCATTGCCATTTGTTTCGATCGAGCTTATTGCCAGTGGTCTCCTCACTCAACTACTAGACCAGTAGCCACTACAACGTAACTGCATAGCAGGGTCTCGATCACTGGCAATTACGTTGCTAATCTCGGGATCGGCCATAAACTATCTGAAAGCTCTGCGATAAGAGCCTGATCATCATTGTCCAAATGAGAAGCCACAGAATAATGTAGCGCCGACCGTGGATCCTCAGTCGCCATTGTTAACTGAAGCTGAATAGCCTCTATCTCTATCCCTCCCTGAGACGGGAGGGGAATCTAGAGGGGACGTATTATCTCTATGCTAGCGGTACTTTACTATCGAAAAGAGCGAGAGCGTGGTCTTTCTGATGGCAGGATGATTCATAATCCATTTCTCGGTGCAGATTTAAATTCACAAGTATCAATTGAAGATAACACCAATGATATATGTTAGGTTAATAGTGGCCCCGACCCTGATACTCCTTCTCCAAAGTACCAAGATACCCCTCCACCTTGTTCCCACCTACACTAAGCTCTTCAGCATCAAGTAAAATCCACATCATTCGCCCTGGCATGGTCTCATTGCCGGTAATGTTCTTCCATTTATGTGCTGTAGCCCTTTGGACACAGACATCTCCCTGACGCATGATACGCATCTCTCCAGAGTCGAGCGTCAATTCGAAGACTCCCTCAATGACGATGCCGTAGTCAATAGTCAGAGACCGATGGAACGGCGACTCTACACCAGGACCAAAGTCGATCATGCGAACAATAGACCCGTTGCGGTAGTGGAAGGGAGGCTATGTTACGAATCAGTGGACTAAGTTTGTAAAAGCTTTGGGAGGCTTACCTCCTCTTTCTTGGCTCTGGCGACATCAACGTCTCCATTGAGATTGACGGGTGTTTCTCGAGTGGAGTAAATGATGTTGGCCACGGCTTTGTTCTCACCCATGAAGCGATAGTGCTCGCCATGGTCTGAACTCAAGAAGTGGGCTTTGCCATCTCCGCGGTGGCCAGTGATATGTCTGACAATCTGGCGTAGGCCGGCGGCAGGAAAGCTCCCGACATAGTACTCAGGAGTCTGTGGTGAAGCTGAAGAACTACTGTCTGCCATTTTGCAACGGATGTGCCTTTCGTGTGAGATGCTAAATGGCGATGGAGATTGAGCGCTGGAGGATGATGTGCCCGAGAGCTTAATGAAGAGCGGGGTTGTCAAAGATGTATTCTACTTACTTGCCCCTACTCTTGGTTTACTGCTTCTATCGCTGCTCTAGTAGAGCATGAAAATGGCGAAGTTGCAGACCGATCATGCTTCACGCCGTCAGATTGGTAATCAACGGATTGCAATTGCTCCTTGTGTAGCTGTTCTAGATAATTCATCACTCGTGACGCTGTCGACAGGATGACTATTAGGGACGCGTTTGGCGACATATCCACTATGTCATTGCCAAAGAGGTCTCACTACTTACTAGATGGCCTGTTACCAAACTATGGCATCGGTACTCGGATAGATTAAATGCCCGTTTCTGAGGAATCAGGTTGTGGAAAAAATACACTACCGACAATTCCACACCGCTAGAGGTAAGCTGATTGTTGCATCAACAGAGCGCAAGACACGCGCGAGATGCTGTACGAGGATTGCCAGTCAGCAAAGACATCGCTTGTGTTTTGATACCTGAGTTCAAGCGCGATGCTGTGGATGTAAGCAGTTACTCATGTACTGCTGAGAAACAAGTTCGCACCTCCTGCGTGTTATGGAGTGAGATCTTAGTAGATGGCACAAACTCACTACTGTGCTTGATGTAACCTGGTTTATGACAACAGTTCCGGACATGAACTGGTCTTCCTGATATCTGGTGGATCGCCAACCAGTGTTTTATTGTGAGCGAATATTATATCAGACTTCTCGCTACAACAGCCACGTTGTTTATGCTGCCTCCTGAATCAAAAACTACCTCATTTTATTCACATAGCCTGCTTCCAGTGAATCAACATGACAACTTCCAATCGATGCACCGAGTTTCCTGCCCCAGGACTTCGAAACCCGTTCCGCTATGTGACTGGCCATGATAGTAACGGCGAGCCAACATTCCTACTGGCAAGTATTACTCTCCAGATAAAATATGTCAAAGATCCCCACTCATGCCCTCCAAGACAGATCATGGAGACCACCGCGCTGTTATGTTAAACGGCGAAGGCGCTCAAAGCATCATGTACAGCAGCAACAGCAACCCAGTGGAGCTCACTAACGATGTCGACCTAGAATTTGCCAGACTTAACAGAGTATGTCTCCGGACCTCGCATTGATCATATAGCTAACTACTCTCAGCCTTCTCTCCACATCCCAAAAGGCTGTGTCGTCCGCATGGTAGACTTTGCGCCAGGTGGGGAGTCCAACATGCACCGCGCTTTGTCTCTTGGGATAGGGACTGTCTGCGAGGGCGAAGTTGAGCTCAGTCTGAGTACAGACGGAAAAGTCAACCGGATTCTTCGTCCTGGGGATGTTATCATCAATCGCTGTGCTATGCATCGCTGGAGAAACACATCCAAGGAGAAGCCGGCCCGCGTGCTCTTTGTTATGCTGGACGTTGAGCCGGTTTTTGTTAATGGCAAACCGCTGGAATTTGATATGGGTGAGCTTATGAAGGAGTATGGTGATTATAAGGAGGGCGAAGGCGCAAATAAGAAACCGTAGGATAATGGGGTTTCTTTGAGGTTTATTTCACATCCTTTGTTTTCCGCCATCAAACTGGCTGACGGGTAGTTCAGAGAGTAGTCTCGTCAAGGATGGTTCATGCCCCCCAGAGAGAATTATCTTTACATCTAGTCCTGTCATTTCGGAGAGATTACACTTATGTGTGCCAGAATCACAGTTATCAAAGTAGAACTGCCTCGATTTGAACCAGCAATTCATTGCTTCTTCTTAAATCATGGCAAGATTGAACAGGTGAGTGAAAGGCCGGCAATTTCCCATTAGGTTCTGCGAGTTATTCAGATCCAGTGGAAAACGCCAGCTGAAGCGTATGGTGCAAAAGACGTCGGCGCCTCCGGGCGTCGGAATAGACACAGACAAGAAGACACATCCCTCATACTACCAGTCGCACCATAAGAGTACCTGTGATACAGAAGCAAATGGAAAAATGGGCTTGGGTGATGACGCGTGCATTCGTATTCGTGCAACGCGACCAACACTCGTGTAGCCATAAATAAGACAAAGGATGCTTACCAATGTGAAAGTATCAAGCCACCAACACACAAGAGAAAGTACGTCACTTCCAGCATGGCAAGAGGGGCGCAAAGAGAAATAGCATTTGTCATGTCAAAACGCCATGCGGATTACGAATCACTCCGCTATCCATAGCAACAAGATCTCAGGGTGTTGAGAGAAAGCAATATTATAAAGGGTTAGCAATCTAATATACAGATGGGAGGTTGTGACAACGTAGAGCACGAAGAAAGTAGACGTTCCCAATCTCACTACCAACCAACACAATTTCCAAGCAAACGATGACGATTTACGTGATCACTGGTATCTCCAGAGGCCTCGGGGTAGGTATACCAATAAAGCTGCAAAGACAGCGCTAATCAGTTCACAACAGTACGAGCTCGCTCGTCAGCTTTCCAACGACCATAGCAACACCGTTGTCGGCATCGTGCGCGACAAGTCTGCAACCATCACCAAGATCTCGCGGGATGCAGAGCTCAACCGACGCTCCAATATCCACGTTATTGAAGCCGACTTGACCAACTACAACGCACTCAAAGTAAGCACCAGATATGAAGCAACTCGTTTTGTATCAACAGAAAACTAACGGGCAGTGTAGGACGCCGTGAACGAAACTGCTAAGATTACTGGCGGGAGCATCGACTACCTTATTGCCAACGCAGCATACGTCTCGAAATTCGATACCTTTGACCCCATGGGAGCCCTGTGAGTATTACCACGATATACACATACACTGTACAGCACTACTGACTCCATCAGGGGCAATACCCCCAAGGAGCTGGAAGATGATGTCAAGATGCTCTTTGACGTCAACGTCGTGGCCAACATTCACCTATTTAACCTCTTCATTCCCCTTATCCTCAGAGGCAAGGAAAAGAAAGTCGTGACTATCTCCACTGGCCTTGCTGACCTGGAGTTTACCAATAACTTCGAGCATGAGTTTACCCCACTGTACTCCATCAGCAAAGCCGCCATGAACATGGCGGTCGCCAAGTTTAACGCCCAGTACAAGAAGAAAGGCGTTTTGTTCATGAGTGTATGCCCCGGAATGGTTGATGTTGGACAGTTCAATCACGGTATGTTAGTGTCTCCCGACGCATTACAGTGTACTAACAGCCGACAGCGACCCCACAGCAGATGGAGGCGATGGGGGATATGATGGCCAAGTTTAAAGAGTATGCTCCGCATTTTACTGGCCCAGCGACAGCAGAAGCTGCGGTTAAAGACATGAGAGCAGTATGGGAAAACGCGACGATTGAGGGGGGTTATGGCGGTGCCTATCTTTCTCAGTTCGGAAACAAACAGTGGCTGTAACGAAATATGATAGCTGCAAGATTGGGGGTGTCGATTCTGCGAAACCAAGAGCTAGATTGCCACTTCTGTCTACTCGCTGGAATTCTACCGACGTCTTATCGCATGTCGTTTACTGAATCATAAGAAGACAAATTTGCCAGCCTCTGTAAAAATGCCAAGTCCCGTTAATCCGACAGAATCGGAACATAGAAACGGAACCGATTGTGCGGGTCATATTTAGCCTTCAGCTTTCGAAGCCTGGCCAAGCGCCACGACTCGTAGCCATAGATTGACTGGAGGCTCTCGTATTTGTTCCCAGAAGCGTAGTTGACATACGTCGCCGGTTTACGCGTAGGAGCTCCCGCATACCACATATCACGAGCTTCTCGAGCCCATTTCTCGGCGGGACCCAATAAATCGGACCCCTCAGGGACCACGGTCGCGAAAAATCTCATTCCTTTGTCAGTATCGGTGGTTAAGAGCTAGAGGGACACATACGCTATATGATACTCATCACGATGAGAATAAGCGGTGGACGCAGAATCAACGGCCTGCACTCCTCGATGGGCATATCCTTCATAGTATAAGCGAGCAGTCACCGCTAAGTCTGGGTATAATGCGACATTGCGCATGAAATGATTGTAGAGCGCTCGTTCTGTCGTGATGTTCCAAGTCTGCAGCATGACGCTGGCCAAAGAGAAGGGAGCAGAAATGCAATTAGATAGGTCTGTGTTTTGGCGCACGGGAATCTCGGGATACGGGACGTCGCCCATTTCATCCTTGATGGCATCGATGGCGTTGAAAGGGCGCAGGAGTCTTTCTGCCTCAGAGGCTGGGCCAGCATAGGCAAATGTGAACCAGAGGATGGCCTAAGTGCGCGTCAGATCTCGGACCTTGCTTCAACATAAAAGGACAGCACTCACCTCGTCACGTCGGATGGATGGGTCTATATAGATCTGTCCAAAAACCACGCCCAGCAGGGGGGGCGTCCTCCCATCATCTTGAAGCTTATTCAGTTCCCTAAAAACCCTTTCGAGCTTATCCTGACGCCAGTAGTAATTATGGTAGTGCCAGGTCTTTATCTTGGCGGGGTAGATCTTGAACTTCAGGTTTGTAACAATACCAAAATTGTGCCCTGCGCCTCGCATCGCCCAGAACAGATCTTTATTGCTCTTGTCGCTGACCGTAATACTCGATCCATCTGCTAGAACAACCTTCATCTCAACGATGTTGTCGCCAGCTAGGCCGTAAAGGCCCTCGTATCGACCGTGGCCTCCACCCAAAGCAGGGCCCGTGAGGCCGACGCATTGATTCGAGCCGGTACCTGCGTAGCGCTATGATTAGCCTCACAAGGCAGAGAAATAAATTGAGATGTGTGCTCACTCGTGACATAGCCGCGATCCCATAAGAATGGTATGACCTCATATGCATATGCACCGCCCTGAAACCAAGCAGACTTTCCATCTCGAGTAATGTTCATGGACCTGAGTTGTTTCATGTCAATCTGCATTCCCTTGAACGCACCAAGCGATTTAGTAAGCCCATGTCCGCGATTAACAACGAGAAAGTTAATACTATTCCGATTGCAGTATTTTACCTAAACAGTCAATAAAAACGGATATTTACGTCGTACACCATGCACTAACGATTTTGGGAATGTCAACTTCGTTTGCAGGCTGGACCACCACTTTGATATCTGGAGGTGCCATAGTATTCCATCTTTTCGTTGTATTCAGCCAAAGAGGATTACTTGGGAGAAGAATAAGAGAGTTTTCAGAGAGTAGTGCGCCTAGCTCTTGTTGGATTTGGAAGACTGGTACTTCGCGGCGAGTGAGATGGTATGGTTGGAAGTATGGGGGTACAGATAGTGGTGAGCTGACTGCAAGCGTTGTGAGGAGCATGAAACTAAAGATTAAATGAAGAGTCATCATTTTCAGCTGCGAATAAAGTTCTTGTGGGACTGGAAGGCTGTGAAAAGATGTCGCAAGCGCTGTAGATCTGAATGGATTTGGCCAGAACATTGCAGAGTCCTTGCAAATGTGTAGATATGATACAGCTTCGTGGAAAAGGTAGAATAAGAAGCTATAAAGCCATCCAGATGCAAGTTCTACAGTGTCTCCTTCATATAAAATCCTGCGCAGAGTCCTCCTAACTATTCTGGATCTGACACCCGTTCCAGTCCAGCCAAGACCACATTGAACAAACAGCCCCCAATACCTCGTTTGATGAGACTCAGCACGTTAAACCGTTTCAGCTCTGTTGTAGACATCCTGTCGGAGTCTGAGTCCTTGGGTCAGACTTTGGATGGCTGTCTCAGCTCTTTCAGCTTGTCAGCTGTGTTACACATCACATCTGACGCAGCCCCCACCAACAGCACAGAGCATGGGAATGATGACAGAGTAATGAAGTAGGCTAAATACAAACTTGGAAGGAATCTTGAGGCGCATAGTGGTCTTGTATGCTTTCGAGCACTACGATTCCGATATCGTCCAGAGAAGATCTTCGGGGACTGCTTTCCATTCTCCGCGCTCATCAAGCAGATCAGAAGCTTGGCTCCATGCAGAAGCCACAGTCTCTGCTCTCTCGGTGCTCCGCGGAACTATCCGGACAGGGAACGGGGATGGTATGGACATTATACCTTCTGTGACGTCCTCTGCATCGGGTATAATGTCCCTGCCCATCTCGGCGCTGACGACCCTGTCAAAGTCGAATGCCCACAAAAGGCGTGAAATAGCCAGGAATAATGACCGGTCAGCTATGTGCATGCCCTGACATCTGCGCCTTCCCGCCCCGAACACGTAGTGGTCTCGCTTGGTAGGGTCTGGGTTATTTGCGGCTTCGATGGATGTTTGCTGATCATCGATATAGCGCATGGGATCGAACTGTCGTGGTGACGGATGTCTTTTTGGGTTATTGTGAATGGCCCTGTGTATACGTCAGTGGGGGAAGGATGGATAGGGCTCGCTGTGAGGTTCAGGTCTTTACTGACCAGACGTTAATGATGACTGTTGCTCCCTTGGGAATGTAGTATCCGAGATAATTATCATGTTGAGCCGTTGCATGGGGTATACCCAACATGAACCCAGGCATCCAACGTAAGCTTTCCTTCATACAAGCATGGATATAAGGCAGATCAGGCATATCATCAAGACTTGGGAGGCGATCTCCACATACACGATCAAGTTCCATTTGTGCAGCCTTTGCGACTTCGGGAAATATGACCATAGCTTGGAAGAAACCGATGAGGATACTGGCCGTTGTTTCAGAGCCTGCCTGAAGCAATGAGCCACTGAGGTACGAGGCAAAAGTGTCCGAGAACCCTTCTTCTTTCTGTAGTTTGACGAGGTCGACACAGACACAAGGCTGGTAGGGAGGAATCAGTATTGAAACTGCCGTTGATGTGGGGAGCTACCTTTGCTGAGCCGTCTTCCAGACCCTTCTTGGCTGCAAGGTAGAACCGAAGAAAGAGGTTTTGTTCTCGTTTATGGATCTTGCGCCCTTCCTTCTTGATCGGCATGAGAAATTCAGGGATCCGTCTCAAAGCGGGTATGAGATCTAGAAGGGCCGCTGTCTGGTAAAGTTACATGGTTAGGATATATCAAACTGACGAGAGAAAAGGCAGCACACTCTTGAACCGATCATCTCAGAACTGCGATCAAATATCTGAACATAGATTAGTAAGTCTAATACTTAATCACAGTATGAAACAGACATCAAATGCTTCTTTGAATCGTTCATCTTTAATGCTTGTGGTACGAGACCCGAATGTTATTTGGGTAGTCAATGAAGCTGTATATCGACGCAAGTGGTCGACAAAATGATCCGGGCTCTTTAGAAAGTCGAACAGCATTGCTTTGCTCTCTAGGTCCTGGTACGGTACGTAGCTTCGAGCTGCCGTCGCTCCCAGGATGCGATGGACAAGCTTCCGGGCCATTTTCCAGACTTCATTATCCGGCTATTCTCTGTTAGTGATACCAAGCAGTCATGAAGCATCTTAGATATATACCATAAATAGTATACGGAAGCCTCCGCTGAGAACATCTTGACCTATGTATGACTCTGGTCGACTTGAATAGATCCCACCTCGTTTATCCACAAGTTCTTTAACAGTCTGATCTGTGTTTAGGACTATCATGACCTTTGTTCCTAGTATCAGTGAGTATATAGAGCCATACTCTTGAGCCCATTTTTGGAACTGAATATGGCGCTTTCGGTTTGGGATCTGGTGTAGGTTGCCGATTATAGGAAGGGTTGGTGGGCCGGGGGGATAACCCGCTGGCCGACGTCCGACCTTGCTCAGTCGCCAGAAGCCAAAAATCAAGATTGGAATCAAGAGATAGATGAGCATATCTGATTATGGTCAAGAGCTAGATTATGCGATTGATACGACTGGAATTTGACGTGATAGAGGATTGAGGTCGATACGATACGATGACTGTTTCCTTACAATACCGAAGTTACGGGATCTACACCTAATCATTGCAGGATGCATATTCAATGAGTGGAGTTTGCCTCCTCACACAACCTTCAAGGTACACCTCCCGCTACTAAAACACTCCCATTTCAAGTGAAGCACACCAACTGGCAACTACAGGACGATAATGACTGCAAGGCAATGCATATGATTTTCCCATGTTTGTAATCAGCGCATAATACTCCAGCTTCTCTCCATTCTTTCCTCGCCAATGACGCACAATTCTCTCTAAACCAGAGGAAAGCAGCACTTGGCGTACAGATGGGCATAAAAAAAAGTCGTACAGTAGATAAGGTAGAGTTACCGAAGAACTAGTATCGATGATGAATCAGAGACATTCGTGCTGTACGCCGTTGCACCATAGAAACGAGCGTTGTTGCAGTCGCAAAACTACTCAGATTGAAGGGAATTGTATCAATAATCAGTGTGCTGAGGTTACGAGTCATTTCAACCGACGAGAGTGCTACGGAGGCACAAAATATGAACCTCAACTGAATTTTCTTCCCGTTATAGTAGCAGTATTCAGTCAATCACGTCTTCGTACATAAACCTTAACCTTGCAGGCAGAAGTCAACTAAATAGACCACAAAGTTACATCGTATTACCATCCCGAGTACGTCGAAAAGCAACAACAAGGTACAAGCTTAGCAATCAGATGCGTAGGCAGTGATTCGTATTACCTTTCTCACACGGGATGAGCTCTTGCCTGTATAACAGCTCGCAAGTGCTAACCATCGTGGCCGAAGTATTTTAAACTATGTCTGTTTCATAGACGCGAGCTGATTATGTTACATTGTTTTCTCAAACTGCCCTTACCACGAATCAACTCTCTCTCTATTACTTGGCTTCCCCATAGTTGATTAAAACGAAACCTCAGGCATCATGACGTATGCATTCGACATCTCACCTGGGAAACGTGCCAGTCGCGCCAGCTTCGTCTGGCGGCAGCTCTTTGTCACACCACCGCCCGTCTCATCCGATGAAGTCAACCTGGCGGGGAGAACAGCACTTGTTACTGGCGCTACCGGTGGAATAGGTCTCGAGATAACACGCCAGCTACTGGGCCTTGGATGCAAGGTCATCATGGGTGTTCGAGATGAGCACAAAGGCGAGGCAGTCCGTCAAGATCTAATCAAGGAAGGCAACCTCACCGATGACATGGTTCAGGTTTGGAAGCTAGATCTCTCATCATACCAATCCATTACCGCCTTTGCTGCCAATGCAAAGAACTTGGACAATCTAAAGATCGCCATCCTCAACGCAGGTATCTACAAAGTATCAGAGGCTTTTAGCCCAACAGGGTACGAGGAAGGGATGCAGATCAACTACCTATCAAACATTCTTCTGCTCATCTCACTGTTGCCCATCATCAAGAAGAATGCACCCGCGGGTGAGACTGGTCACATCTGCCTTGTGTCATCCGACACAGCCGCCTGGGCTAAATTCGAGGAGAGAACCTCGACACCTCTCCTACCCGTATTCAAGAAACCTATGAAAACATGGGATATGGGAGAACGCTATGGTACGACAAAACTGCTCGGCCAGCTATTCCTCACCGCCTTATCGAAACGCGTGTCGTCAGTTGCACTGTCCTGCGCGAACCCAGGGCTTTGCGGCGGTGGCTCAGACCTTGCTCGTGAAGCAAAAGGTATACTTCGATTTGCACACAAGATACAGTGTCTTGTTCTCTGTCGGACATGTGCTATTGGTGCTCGTACAATTGTGCACTCGGTTACGACGCTGCATAAGCAAGCACATGGTCACTACATCGAGGGTGATAAGATACAGCCGTGAGTAACCAAAATTCTTTCTGTGTTAGGCCAATGCTAATCACCTTTTGGTAACAGCATGGCACCGATTGTGTATCAAGATGAGGGGAAAGAGATTGCTGAGCGACTGTATGCAGAGACACTGGAGGAGCTGTCATTTGCTGGGGTGAGACAGATTATAGATGGTCTACCAGAGTAAAGATTATTTACCTGGTGCCTAAATTTGTCTACTGTGTATGGTCATCCGGGATCCGAATCTTTGTGGAACAAGAGGCCTTGAGGCCCCTTCACTTAGGACTAATGCGGTGCTAACACCCAACAATGTCCTGCGTCGAACTTTTTCCAGGCTGCTGATTTGACAAACTGTATCTCGATACATCCTTAACTTAGGTGTGCCTTGTGTAACAGTGTGCGATTGTATCAAAGCCTGGTAACTTACACATGAATAAGCAATCGTCAGCATTACCAAGACATAGTCCTGTGTAAACAAAGTAAGTCCGTAACACATTGAGCGAGTTACAATAGCTTACGACCAAGAAAGAGTGCCACTTGAAGTATAAGACGCCCCATAGTCCCATTATTGGCGGTGTGATAGAACGAACATACACATATCCCCGGACCGTCTTTTCAATCACACAGCAAGACATCTCGTCTCACCCACCATTGTATAGTATGGTACGTACGTGGCAACTATGGCTCTCCCCCCGACCCGTGAGACGCACCGAAACGCCATCGGAGCCACGTATGCTCTCTCAAAATGGCGCAGCACTGTTTGAGTTCCACTACGAGCACGATGATCAGCTTGTGGTACGGGAGACGCATTATGCGGAGAACAAGCTTGTTCAGGATGGTCGTTCAGGCCCGCCACTGTACGTTGCTCGCCCCTCCTCGCTGAACATGCCCTTTATAGCTGGAATAATGAAGGCACATTCACTGTGGCCAAACAGAGTACTTCCAGGTTGAGAGCGGAACCTTGGCTGTCATCAGGAATGGAAAGAAGAGTATTCTTGCCAAAGGTGGTGGCATCATCAAAATCCTTCCCGGAACCCGGTACCGATCCCCTCATCTATTAACACAGATCCGTAAGATTGACAAAAGCCGCTGCAGTCATAGATTCTGGGCCGAAGCCCCTGTTGCGGAGGATCTGGTGTTCCGAGTCTGGGCAGAGCCACAGAACTTGGACAGAGGTTTTGATGAGGCCTTCCTGCGTAACTATCTAGGCTACCTTCGAGACTGCGAAGATCAGAACATACAACCCTCTGTCTTTCAGCTCGCATTACTTGGCTGGAGCGGCGACACCCTCTTATCGCCGTCATGGTGGGTGCCCCTGTGGATGCTGAGGCTGTTTCACTTTCTACTTGCTCATATGGTGGGAAGGTTTTTCTTAGGGTAAGCTGATTCTCCACAGTCACATCTGCCACTAGAACTTGATGCAATTATAGATACCAAGCAAGCTATGAAGAGTATAGTCCAAGAATGACTGGGGGTAGGGGAACATTGAAGAAAATGGCCTGAAAACGCGTCATTTTGACCCTGTCTATCGGAACGCATGGCTTGATCTGGTGTAGATGACTATTTGGAAGTATTTGTCTCTTGCAACGTCAAGATCTCTTAGTTCAGTAGCTCTTTCGAACATTGATCAACATTGCCATTTGAAGCTATCAGCTTTAAGAGAAAAGGATTATGCGTATTCCCCAAGGAGCTCAGAACTGCTCGCGATCTGTCTCTGCTAATCATCCTGCCGACCCCATCCACATATCAAGCAATTCCGGGTTCGAGAGTACAGTAATGATGGATTCCTTAACGGCCCTTGCGCCTCTCCAGTTGCATCTTTCCTCTTTCCTCCATTCTCATTTTCGTGATGACTACGATGGAGGCTCAGCCCCGCTAAGAAAAAGCCATTGTTTCATCCACGACAATGCTATTCTCAGCCAGCCCCAAAGGTTGGTGGAGGGGGGTAGCTGATTTTCCATCAGCTTTGAGATTCGTTTACTCATTGTGTCGGAAGCCGGCTCTAAATAGAAGAAATGAAGTTAGAAGAAATCTCGACATTTTGAAATGTGATGAGAAAATAAATTTATAGTGACTCGCAGCACTAGCTGCAATTAGCTGTGTATATGCCTTCAAAATGGTTTCCTATACTCAAATCTATACTTTCCACTCATCAATGACTCTTATGAGATTGGTCTGGCTAACAGGCTGGCTAACGGCCCTTTTCTACAGTAGTCCTATCAACGCCATTGCTCTTAACATATCACGATCTCACAGCGCCAACCTTCGCTATCTTTTGACTAATGAAGAGCACAGGTGGTCATTCAACACGTCGATCAACTTCGCTGGATCAAGTGACTTCTTCGCTTCTACGGAGAGATGGACAACATTCAGTGCGCCAACATATGCAGCTGTGATCAGTCCAGGAACAGAGGAAGATGTTGCCAAAATTGTATGTGTCTACCAGTTTTTATATACTTGGGAAGCTCATGTTGTCACAGATTAAACTTGCAACGATGCATAATATTCCCTTCCTTGCTACAGGTGCTCGTCATGGGTATACAACAACCCTGGGAGAGCTACATAATGGCCTCGCGATAGATCTCAGTCATTTTAAAGAATTCGAACTAGACGCGGATGTAAAAACTTTGACTGTCGGTCCTGGTGTTACCGTTGGCGAAATATTCGACCCGCTGTTCAGTGCTGGGTTTGAAATCCGTGAGTGATAATACCTATCAGCCTTAAACCACTATCATTGACATATATCCTGGATTTAGAGACCGGCAGCGCCCCTTGTCCCAGTTTCATCGGTGTCACACTTGGCGGCGGTGTTGGTCGCTTTCAAGGCGTCTACGGCCTACTCTCTGATGCGCTCATCTCGGTTCGTCTCATCACTGCCAACGGCGAAGTTTTAGAGGTTTCAAGAAATAGGTACCCCGATTTATTCTGGGCGATTCGTGGTGCGGGTGCAAACTTTGGCGTTGTAACCTCTGCCACTTACAGCGTTTATCCACTGACAAACAACGGCGACATGTTTATTGCAGAATTTATCGTTCCACCTCGAAGGTGGTCCGAGTACCTCCGAAAGATGGAGTCTATGTCACCGCTACCCGCTGAGCTATCTTCTCTATTACTGAATAGCTTTAACACGACCACGAACCAGGTATGACTTCAGTATTCTTTTGATGCCACTGCTGATCGATGTCGACAGACTCAATTGTATGCGCACTGGGCTTACAAAGGCACTGAAACTGATGCCCGGAAGCACTTGTCACCAATCTTGAACATGAACCTCACAGCAACTCAAATAAGGGTGCTTCCCTGGAACAGACTCGTGGAGAACACATTCGCTGGAGCTGCCGTTACTGTTTGTGAGCCCAACACCAACCGAAATCTGTACACCTTGAGCATGAGAAATTACTCAGCCTCGACTTGGGAAGCTTTGTCTTCCAAGTTGGCCACTTTCTACACACAGTATCCTCAGGCGCGCAGTTCCTCTCTTCTTTATGAATTCTTCCCAAATCAAGCTATGGCTGCTATTCCCCAAGACGATACTGCGTTTCCGCGCAGGGATACAACGGCATACATGTACGTCTACAAGCAATACTTGAGCCCCGCTCTTCATGACTGACGTGATATTTGCGAGCAGAAATCTTATCTTGACTTCGAGCATTCATAACAGTGAAATAGACAATGCTCTGGCAAGGTTTGGTGAAGAGATTCGACGTGATGTGGCCGCAACGTCAGGGTATCCAGAAATTACAACGTTTGTCAATTATGCCCACGGTGACGAGACACTGGATCAAATCTATGGCAAGAATAAACTGGCACGCTTAGCAGCGCTGAAGAAGATATGGGATCCTAAGGAAGTCTTCAGCTTCAACAATGGCTTGCCTACTAGGTATCCTTGAAGAATGGTTTAAATGCCCTTTTAGATATTTTCTAGGGATTTAGGAAATGGCATAGATACTCGGTCGCATACAAGGGTATCTTATTCATATGTCCTTGATATATACGAAGCAGGTCCACTACCAGCAATGTCCACGCACCATGCGTAGGTCTGGCCCATCACTTATATAACCAAGTGAGTGACTCTTCATGAAATAGTGCAAGAGCATAAGGTACAATCACATCATCTTCATATTTCTACAGTGTTAAGCCCTCTCCTCTGAATCTTGCTCAAAAGAATTGATTGCAATTGAGATGGCCCGCGAGACCAAGCCATATTTACAGAGTTTGTGGAACTTGGAGGAATAACGTCGGCAATAAAGGCTTATTAATGCATATTGTCTCCCCCCTCACTCATAAATCGACGCTTAAATAGTCAAATACATCTTACAGTGCATCTAATATGATTATAATTGCAAAAATGTCCGCTGAGCTCGAACATCTAGCTGCCTTCGAGGCCACCTTTCGAGGCTGGCTATCCCGCCAATTCACCACCCCAAAGCCCTTACCAACCACTCTTGAACTGGTAGAAAAGACCGCAATTATCACCGGGAGCAATACTGGCCTGGGCTTTGAAGCAAGTCGACAGCTCCTCAAGCTAGGCCTTTCCCACCTCATCATGGCTGTGCGCTCTCAAACGAAAGGCGACGCAGCAGCTAGCATCTTACGAGATGAATTCCCCCAAGCTACTGTATCTGTCTGGATTCTTGATATGGAGTCTTACGATTCTGTCACGGCATTTGCGGCCCGATGTGCCACGCTTCCACGTATCGACATTGTCATTCTCAACGCGGCGCTGATCAAACCATCTTTCACCAGAGCATCTACCGGACATGAGCTCACCATGCAAGTTGTTTACCTTTCCACGGCGCTCCTTACTATTTTGCTACTACCCATTTTGAAGTCGAAAAGGACTGCCTCTGGCACACGTCCCCCAGTCATCACAGTTGTTGGATCCGACCTCGCATATCGTGCTGACATGCACACAATGGGCCCTGTACTGGAACAGTTGGACAAAGATCAAGGTTACAGTCAATTCGTATGGTATGCGAGGTCGAAATTTCTGCTCACATTCTTTGTATCAACGCTTGCCGAGTCTGTCAACCCGAATCATGTAATCGTGAACATGGTTAATCCAGGGACAACGCGAGGAACGGCATTCCTCCGGGAATTCTCCCCCCTACTTGAGAGGCTTGCAGGATTACTGCAATTAATATTTGCCAGACCTGTGGATATCGCTGCTACTATTTATCTCGATGCTTGCCTTTTGCGTGGTATGGAGAGCCATGGATCATTTATTAGTGATTGGAGTATCAAGCCGTAAGTATTGCCTTTTTACCATCATAAAAACTGACGGCGATAGGTACCCCAGCATATGGTATAATTCTGTGGGTAAAGACTTTGGGAAAACGTTGTGGGAAGAGACAATGCGTGAGTTTGAGCCCTTTGGAGTGGCAAAGATCATTGAGGATTGAAGAAAACCCAGTTTGGAGACAGGGAGGCCAGTAAACCTAGGACCTCTATCCCTACTGAAAGAAGAGCTTAGGTAAACTTGACATAGTTCTTTGTAGACTTGGTAGATCTAGAATTTGACATTTCTGACACATTTATATCAGAAGTCTCCTTACTCCCTTGGGTGAGCTAGGTGCCGATATCTAGTTTTGTTCATTACGTTAACTAAGTACTTTCTATTGTTAAAGTCTTTCCTACTGTCTTTCTCTATTATCATGAATCTTGCTTTAACATCATATTGATACAATCAGTCAATCGACTCGCAATAGAAAGGACAACTGCTCTATCAAGGTGTTTGGGCTTACACCATGCTAAGACGCGCGTCGTTTTAACTCTTGGACATCGCAATGTCATGCTGTGCCATTCTTACTGGCCTGATGCCCCCACCGATTCATCCTTTACATTTGTCGTTCAATTCAAGTCTTGGGGAGCACCGCATATTACTCATTGACACCAAACAGTATGGTAAGCATCCTTTACCACTGTATAGTCCAGTCAAATGTGGAGTTTATGTCATTGTATTGCATATGTGGCTTACGTGAGATGATTAACGTTGTATCACCATCGATAGCCATGGCCGAAAGAAGTCTTCCACTCCTGCAAGATAAGGTAGGCTTGACAAGAGAGAAATGGGCACCCACATACTTTCAATGTCCTCAACTCTTCTGAGAACCTTTCGCTCATCTTTCTCACTTTTACCAACATTTTCCCCACTGAAATTCTATGATGGCTCGCCCTAAGTTCGCTCTCGTTACTGGGTACTGATTTAATCGCCTCAAAGCTCTACTGTATTATCACTGATACTATGCAGATGCGGCCAAGGTGGAATCGGAGAGGCCCTTGTTATGGAGTACAAGCGGCTTTCAATGCATGCCATCGCGACTGTTCTTCCCCACGAGTCAACTGTTCATCTATCGCAGGCTGGCATCACCTGCTTCCCTCTGGACGTAACAGTTGAAGATTCCGTCTCAGAGCTCAAACTCAAAGTCCAAGACATCACCGGTGGATATCTCCATATCCTCGTGAACTGCGCGTACGCATCAGTCCCTCCCAAATTGCATCGTTCAAACCTGACGATGTGTCAGAGGAATTGCATACACTATGACCGCTATAGACACAGACGTGATTGCTGTACAGCGTATGTTTGACGTGAATGTCTTTGGCCCCATGCGTATGGTGCATCATTTCCATGACATGATTATTGAAGGATCTGGCACCATAGTTAATATTGGTTCCATTGGGGGAACCATACCATTTGTATACGGATGTGGGTGTCCATGGCAATCGACGAATTTTTGTGCTGACAAACTCGCAGCGTCATATAATGCTTCTAAGGCAGCTCTGCAGCATTGGTCTAACACCCTGAGGGTCGAAATGGCTCCGTTCAGGTATGTGACTCCTCCTATAAACACTATCGCTAACGCCCATCTTTTTTAAGAGTCAAAGTAATCACGGTATACGACTCCTAGCACCATCCGTGACTCTACTTTTGGCTGATACAGATGTCTCACTAGGTTATCTCGGGAGAAGTAAACACCAATATCCTAAAGGCCGACGCCCAGAGAAGACTTCCAGAAGGTTGGTATATGGAATTAACTTGATAGAAAAGGACTCACTAATATTGTACTCTCAAGGGTCTTACTACTCCGCCCTTGAGAAGCAATTTGAACAGCATGTCTTGCGAAAGCCGAGTAAGATGAATATTACCATAATTTTCTGTTCTTGCCTACTCATATCTCTAGAAAATGCCACCGACCGTTTGGAATTAGCTGAGAACGTTGTCAAGGAAAGTCTGAAGAGCCGCCCGTCTGCTTGGTTTTGGTTCGGAAGCTTCAGCACCTTGACCAGATTTCTCGACACGTTTGCTTGGCGAACCATATGGGTCGGTTCTATCCGATAGATCTCATACTGCCTCAGCTATTATTGACTGCTTATTAGGACTCAATCCTTTGGAGAATGTTTGACATGAAAAAGTTGCAACGAGCTCACGCAGCTAGGCTTCGGGAGGAGGGAACAGGATGACTCTGTGGTATTTCTGGGAATACTACTGGCCTTTCCCATATCGTCAATTTCATCCTTGGTGTTTATCTAAGTTAGTAATTATCATTGATTGCTATCGATGGCCGAATCTTGGAATCTGCTATAGCTTCTTCGCTTCTCCATTAGTGCTCTCAACAATGATTATGCTTCTCTTCAAGTGTATCTCTTAACAATCGAGAGGTTTTTTTATTACACTTGCTGGCTATAGCTAAGAAATTGTCATCGACGCATAGAAAACGGTTTAGCCTTGGTAAACCAATTGAAGTTTCCAAGACTGGGCTTACCTATTCAGCCACGCTAGAAACAACGTTGCTTGTAACTTTCGTTCGACTTAGGTATCTTCATAGCTCTTGTTTATCACTCACTGACATACCTATACCAGTAATGTTTACAAATAGGGGGCTCCAAATTTAGTGTACCACGGGTCACCAAGCACAATGGCGGAACATCGTAAGCTTAAGGAACAAAAGCAGACAGTTTATATAAGGTAGACATGAAGTTACATTGAATCCAGTATCCTTTTTCTGCCAAAAGATCGAGTTCCAATCATGCCCATATCTTATCTCATGGCCGTCAAAGTTGTTCCACCATCAACAATCAAGGCTGTGCCAGTAATGTAGCTAGATCTCGAACTACACAAGAAGATAACAGCATCTGCCACTTCCTCTGGCGCTGCAATTCTGCCCATCGGCACCGCAGCATGTACAAACTCGGCAAGACCCTGCACGCCTTCCAGGGCCTGTCGTGTCATCGGGGTATCTGTCCAGGAAGGACAAACGCAGTTGACTCTTATTCCATGTGACGCGTTGTCAAGAGCTATCAAGATATCAGCTGGTTGTTGTTAGAAAGGGTTCTCGTTATCGACTGACCGCTATTCTTCGTCAATCCGAGGGCAGCGTGCTTCGACGTGGTGTACGGTAGGACACCTGGACTTGCAACCATGGAAGATGCAGAGCCAAGATTCACAATCGCCCCGCGCGATACCCCTCTACCAGCTGAGACTGCGACTGGCTCTTGAGCCCGCATGGTGATGGAAGCTTCTCGCGTGACAAGAAACATTCCTGTAGTGTTAACTCGAAGAAATCTCTCAAAGTCGGACAGAGATGTGCTGGCAATATCGACCGCTTGCCGAACTCCGATCTAGATACAACTCGTCAGCTATGCATGTCAGATCTTGAGGTACATTAGCATCCAATGATGACTCACGCCAGCCGAGTTGACGCAGTAATCAATGCGTCCGAAGGTCTGTACGGCATGGCTCATCATGTTCTGCACTGAATCTTCGCGAGTCACGTCGACGTGAATGGCTTCACAGCGGAATTCCTTGTTTACTGCTGCGGCTTTGCACTCGCTGACAGCATCTTTCGCCAGGCGGACGGTGATGTCAGCTATCAGAACACCAAGAGCCCCCTCGTTTGCGAAGGATATGGCACAAGCGAGACCAATACCACTCCCTGAAGTAATTCTCTTAGTTTTCGAGGAGTAGCCGGGGTAATGTCGTTACTTACCCCCTCCAACTACCAGAGCATATCCAGAAAGGTCCATAATTGTGATGTTGTCTTTTTATTGAAGCAGAATGCCGTGGCCTTTACAGGGGAGAGGATAACCGGCAATGCACTGAAATTAATACACAAATTGACTGCCAGTTGGATTACAAATCCAATTCGGATGAGAAAGCCCACCATTCAACAGGACCATGCACAAGGCAACGCCATATCTGTGTCTATTCTTAGAATTGTCATATGATTACTTTGGCCGCGGAGGTGAAAAGTTCTGACAGGCCATCGACGTGCCACGAAACCAATCGCTGCATCGCGGGGGTTATACTAGGACGGTTCGCCGATACTCGCACAAATATATCGTCTTGTGCTGTGGTCGTTCAAAAGGTCTTCGGACAAGATTTCTGTGATATAGTAACTCATCTCTCCAACCCCGCTCTATCGTATGACGGGTCATGTCGGGCTGTAATCAATGGCCCATCTGGATTCCATTGATGACATGCATATTGTGTAGTCCAAGATGTGGTATCTTGACCGCTATTGTTGTAGCTCAGAATACCTGGCGATGTGTTGAATTTTCCAATCCATAGAATGTATCCATGCCAGGTATTGATGTTCAAGAAGGCGGATAGCTTCAACTCTCCAGACTTGAATCATCTATCACTAGTCCTGTATACAGAACAACCTAGACTCGAAACTGGGAGACATTGCCTCACAATGTAAGCAGGCAGTGTAATGATTTCAGCTGATGTGAGGAAAGAGGAGAGAGTGTAAACGTGATACATGGACATGAAACTGAAATGCATGGTCCCTTCCATCAAGGAAATGGTGAATCGGAGCAGGTCTTCCCATTCTATAGCGACCGAGCCAGAGTGGTAGATTAAAGAAACTAAAAGTACTATAAAGTCAGCTCATGAATCTATCGCCGATTCCATCACGATTTGCATCTGCAAACCATCATTGCAAACAGAAGCAAATCAAGGCCAACCAACATGACCAAGTCCGAGACTATCACCATAGCTTCCACCTCTCAGACCCGTGGTAACGGTCGGGGATCTCAGACCGAGCAAAACATGATCCCTGTCGATACAGCAACCCCAGATGAAGATCCTCTATGCATTGTTGGAATGGGTTAGTATACTCAGAGGCCTTAATACCCCATTCCCATCCTATTCCACCGCCCGCTAACTCTGAGGTAGCATGCCGACTGCCCGGTGGTATACGCTCCCCAGATGATCTCTGGGATTTCCTAATGCAAAAGAAATCAGCCTACGCCCCTGTCCCAGCTGATCGATACAACATCGACGGCTTCTACCACCCTCAAAGCAACCGAAGCGGCGCAACAAACGTCCCCGGTGGATATTTCATCAACGAGGACGTCAGACAGTTTGACAATGCCTTCTTTGACATCAACAACCTTGAGGCCACATACATGGATCCTCAGCAACGCAAGATTCTCGAGGTCGTGTACGAGTGTCTTGTGAGCTCGGGCACTTCTATGGAAGCTGTCGCTGGCTCCAATACGGGAGTGTATGTGGCAAACTTCACGGTGGACTATCAGCCTCTACAGCTGAGGGATCCTGATTATCTGCATAGATATGTAACAACCGGATCAGGTGCCACTATCATGTCAAACCGGATTAGCCATGTTTTCAACCTCCATGGACCAAGGTATGTGTACTTCTTCATGATAGGTGGATACTTAGGTGTTGACTATTGAACAGTCTGTCAGTAGATACTGCCTGCTCTTCGTCGATCTACGCCTTCCACCAAGCTATCAAGGCTATCAAGGCGGGAGATTGTGACAGCGCAATCGTGGCTAGCGCCAATCTGATCTTATCACCAGAGCCTCATATTGCTGCTGCCAAGAGCGGAGTACTTTCATCGACAGGCATGTGTCTTACGTTCGACAAATCCGCCAATGGCTATGGTCGAGCTGAAGGTGTTAATTCTATCTATATCAAGCGCCTATCCGCTGCAGTCAAGGACGGAAATCCCATTCGTGCAGTCATCAGGGGGAGTGCACTGAATGCGTAAGTACTCCCCAAATTCCTCGGAACCGATCCTAATACTCCTGTAGGAATGGGAGGACGCCTGGAATATCCCTCCCAGATAGTGATTTCCAAGAGCTGGCGATGCGTAAAGCATACAAAGATGCCAATTTGGATGTTTCAGGAACTGATTACGTCGAATGCCATGGTACTGGAACTGCTGTTGGTGATCCTATAGAGGTGGAGGCCATTGGGAGAGTCTTTGATCGAGGCTCTGGCAGTCAACTTATGCTTGGATCGGTGAGCATCTCATTATCCAGTATAGTAGTGTTATTGCACGGCACTAACAGGATAATAGGTCAAAACAAACGTCGGACATAGTGAAGCAGCGAGTGGCCTCACATCCGTGTTAAAGGTTGTCCAATCCTTTGAGAAGGGTCAGATTCCTCCAACTCGAGGCATTCTTAACCTCAATCCTAAATGTGCGAAGCTATACATCTCTCCGCTGATGCGACATCCCGCTAACATAAACTCACACTTATAGTGGTTCTTGCTGAACGTAATTTAATGATTGCGCAGGATGCCCACGACTGGCCACGAAATCTTCGTCGTGCAAGCATCAACTCCTTTGGCTACGGCGGTGCCAATGCTCATATCATTCTTGAATCAGCCGAGAGCTATCTCGGCAGCAAAAAATCGACGGGGCCATCCATGAACAATGCGACGATATCAAGACAGCAGAGAGCTGTACTGTTGCCTCTATCGGCTAGCTCGCCGTTCTCTTTGAAAGCGCTAGTCGATGATATCTCCTCAAGGCTCCCTCGGCTGGGTCTTGCTGACGAAATTGACTCGTTGGCTTATACTCTTACCAAAGGGCGCGATCACCTCAGTTACAGAACATTTATTCTGGCAGATCTTGACAAGAGCGGCAAGATCGTACGATCAATGCGAGCAACGACGGGTGATGGTGACTTTCAAACTATGAAGCCACTGCCCCTTGGTTTTGTATTCACAGGGCAGGGTGCACAGTATCCAGGCATGGCGAAAGAGCTACTTACTAGCTCTGAGTCTTTCTGCTCAACAATCCGCCGCCTCGACTCTGTGCTTCAAGCTCTGGCTCCTGAACACGCTCCAGATTGGACGCTGGAAGAGACCATCTTAGACTCCAGCACAACGCTTATCAACGAGGTTGAGCGTAGCCAGCCAGTCTGCACAGCCGTTCAAATTGCCATTGTCGAGCTACTTCACAGCTGGGGTGTCCAGTGCAACGCAGTCGTCGGACATTCCTCCGGCGAGATAGCAGCAGCTTACTGTGCCGGCATAATCAGTGCCTCTCAAGCCATCACTGTAGCTTACTTCCGAGGGTACGC